GTGCAGTATGGGTTGTTTAAGGTTGTTAATCTATGCTACTGCTTGCTCCTTTTCATCTTCTCATATACATGCATGGTTTCTTAATAAGTTGGTTGGACATATCCACGGATTTATTTTTTATTCCAACCATGTTTTTTTTATGGGTACAATGGAGGTCAATGCCTAGAGGGAATTAGGGAAAGCCAGTAGTGGCTTCCTTACCTTTCACCGGTGATGGTCGGATTTAAGATGGCATGCTTCTTTCTGATCAAACAGGTTAAGAGAGAAGATCAATATTCAATTCTTGCTGAACAAGGGAAAGATAAAGAACACTCAGATTTTCTTGATCATGATTTTTTAAATAATAAGAGTGTGCTTGGCCTGGTTTGTAAACAAAGAGATGCTCTGTTTCAATGTAATATTTAAATGAAAAAGATGGATTTAACACCAATTGGAATCTGAACTTGGTATAAATATGCAGTAAGAGATCATTGAATTCAAATAGAAGATGTCATTACCCCCTGGTACTAGTTGTCTACTGAGACTAGCGTGTCTGTTATGGAACCTTCATCTTTTTTTGTTTTTTGTCGAAGTCAACATTGGTTGTCATGAATAGGGATCCATTTTGTTTTATATGTTAAACTTGTCTCACTTATTATGTATTTTTTTTTCTTATAACATGTGTTTTCTTCACATACTGCATGGTTTGCCTACCCAGGAAACATCTGATCACCTCCTATATCCTAATCCTGGATCGGGAATGATACATGAACAACACCTCCAATTTTTTCATTTCTTGGGAACGCTTCTTGCAAAGGTTTGTTATTCTATTACACAAGCTTAATCAATTCAGTGCAATGATGTATCTATATCTAATATTAATGTGCCTGCATGCTATCTCAGCTTTATGTATTACAGGTCTTATTAATGAGACATAACATTACCTTTCTTGTAGGCCATGTTTGAAGGGATTCTTGTGGATATACCATTTGCAACATTCTTCTTGAGCAAATTGAAACAAAAGTAAGGTTTTGAATGGTTTCCTACTCTCTGTAAGACCTCTTTTTTATATGTATTCTAGATATACTAATACATGCATACTTTTCCTTTCAATTGATTAGGTACAATTATTTAAATGACTTGCCTTCCTTGGACCCAGAATTATATCGGCACCTTATTTTCTTAAAGGTGATTTTTCTTTACCTTTTCCCTTTTTTATCTCGTGTTCATAGTTTGTGGGAAAATAGTGACTTTATTTGCATAGTCATCCTTTCACGTGGGTTCTAGCCTTCTAATTCCCACCTTCTTTGCTATGACTTTCAGCATTATAAAAGGGACATTTCCGAATTGGAGCTCTACTTTGTCATTGTGAATAATGAGTATGGAGAGCAATCTGAAGAAGAGCTGCTTCCAGGAGGCAAAAACATACGTGTTACTAATGAGAATGTCATCACATTTATTCACCTTGTATCTAACCACCGTTTGAATTTTCAGGTAGTGAGATCCTTCATCTCAAATTAGTTTAATGCGTCTTACTTTTATGATGGTGACATAATGAAACAAGGCCATTGCAGATACGGCAACAAAGTTCTCATTTCCTAAGGGGATTTCAGCAGCTTATACAGAAGGATTGGATTGATATGTTTAATGAACATGAATTGCAGGTATTGTTTTTCTACATCAAAAATTTTCAGGTTGTATTCACTTTGCAAGCACTAGTTTCCTAATCTTACTTTGAGGTCATTTAAACATGTGTTATTTACATTGATTTGCCGAAATTCCTTTTCACTTAAAAATGGTTAATGAACCTTCATATTGTATGCCCTGTGAACTGCAGTTTTTGCTTGATGTTTGCAATTCTGTTATGCCAAAATGTCTTTAACCATTGGTCATGTTCCCTTGCATTAACATTGATTTTCATTCAATTATACTTTGTATGTGTAAGCTGCTTTACTTCAATTCTTGACATCTTTTTCACTGATGGTTTAAGATCATGAACGTATTATTGCATTCACCCTGGATGAAGCATGTACTTATCTTTCAAATTATAAATATTCATCAATTGAGTGCACCTGCTTAATGTCTTTTGAGCTTTATTTATATACTTGGAATCTATTTTCTTTGCAGCTTCTGATATCAGGTTCACTTGACAGCTTGGATGTTGATGACCTGCGACACCACACCAATTATGCGGGTGGTTATCATGCTGTAAGTTTTTACCCCTCATCTCTCGTGTTGGATTAGATTGTGTTATTATGCCACAAATGTTCTGACTTTTTCCAGTTTTACTAGTTGAAATGGCATGACTGCAAATTGTTACTAAATTAACTTGTTGCCTTATCTGTCATTCTTATCAATTGGTGTTTGCTTTATCAATTGTAAGTACAAATTGTTTCCAGTTCTCTGTGTTTGCTTTTAGAAGCTTATCTTCGCTTCTTTGTTTAACAGGAGCACTATGTCATCGATATGTTTTGGGGGGTCCTCAAAAGCTTTTCCCTGGAAAATCAAAAGAAAATTTTGAAGTGAGTTACATCATCTATGATCTGTGTGTTTGTTGTCCTATGTTGGCTACTTCAATTATTAGCTTCAAGAATAATGAAAATGAGAGGATAATAACTATATGAAGTTCTTTTCAGGTTTGTGACTGGGTGCTCCCGAGGACCTCTACTGGGATTCAAATATCTTGAACCTTTATTTTGCATACAAAGGTAATAATTGTACAAAATGTACTCTGGAAATGTGAAAACTTATTAGTCAGGTGGCTGACAGCGACAGAAGCATGATAGAACACTACTGATTTCTCTTGTCTAATTTTTTTTTTCTTTTTCCTTTCCAATCAGAAATTAACAATTTTGCTGTCAACTCTTTTCCAGAGCTGCTGGTAGTGCCTCTGAAGAAGCATTGGACCGATTACCAACATCAGCTACATGTATGAACCTTCTAAAGCTTCCACCATATAGAAGGTTTGTCTCTCTTTTAATAGCTTACCATAGAGTAGGACTTTGGTACGAGAAATTCTAGGTGATTTCTTTGCATGGAAATTGAATTGCTGTTTGTGGTGGTGATAATTCACATTTTCAAGGCTTTTAACTTGAGGCATGCAAGAATTCAGAAGTCACTTATAAATTAGCCTGCAAAAGTTTTTCATCATAACCAGTGTCACTTATTTAAATACTGACTTTTCCTTTTATGGCAATATATCTAAATTCCTAAATGATGTGCTTATGGTGCAGCAAAGAGCAACTGGAAACCAAATTGCTGTATGCCATAAATGCAGATGCTGGTTTTGATTTGAGTTAATTTCCTACACAAAGCCAGGCTCTACTATAAGGTTGTGAACTATGCTCATTCGCAAATATATTAAATTGAAGTCAGTGTTATGAGAATTTCATAATGGTCAAGTGCCAAGGAGGCTTACCGAGAAGAGATGAATGCCGACCAAGGCCGAGAATAACAGTGTATAGATAGATAGCTGTCCTGTCCAGCCTGTTTGTTTTAGTTTGTTAAGATGTACATACGTGGAGATATCTGCAGTCTAGATTCTATAGTTTAAACAAACATCTGCAGGAGACACAAGCGGATTCCAAATCTGCATATTTATGGACTCTTGAAGATCGCTCCTGCAGTGCCAGGGGTCGTGGCCAACTCGCAAGTTTGGTCTTGTCAAATGTTCTTAATGTAAACTCTAGCCCAAGTCGAAAATAAACTATTCTTGTATCATCATTTGTAAATGAATAAACATAATATGAACAAATTAAACATGGTATGGTGTGGTATGGTCAGGTCTGTTCTTTACTGTTGTGAGTAGTTCCCCCCTCCCCCCTTTTGTTTGTTTTGTTTTTTTTTTTTTTTTCAATATAGAGCTATTTAAAAGAATTTGTCAATGCCTTGTTTCTTATAAAATCTTATTAGTAATGGTAATGGCGTAAATTGTACTTAAAATCAGCATTTTATAAGTTAATTAATTGAGGTTACTTGATCCCGCAATCTTCAAAGTTTAAAATCATGTCAGTGAGTCAAAACAATAGTTGTTAATTTCGTTTTAGTATAGATTATGTTGGTCGGTACATTTTAATTAAATCAAAATATAATATATTTAAAATAATTTTTTATATCAAATTTGGCATCGAATAATATCGATATTTAAAAATAATTTTTTGTATCAAATTTAGTATTGGATAATATCAATTATTTTTGTTAGTTTTGATATGTTTTGATGAATTTTGATGGAATAACATGCTTTGATTGGTACATAAATGTGAAATGTAATTTTTAATTTTTAATTTATTTTTTGTTATTTAATTATTTTTAATATAATAAAAATAAAATTAATCGATAAAATAATTCTTAAAAATTAAGTTTGTTATTTTTTATTTTTATTTGTTTTTTTTATACTTTATTTTTTCAAACAAAAAATTTTAAATATTTCAGTTTTTTTTTCAAAAAAACAATTATACTATTTTTATAAAATTTAACAATTATAAAGTTTTGATTAATTTTTTTTATCTTTGTTTTTACCTTAATATTTATTTAAATATTATATGATCATATTAATGTTTAAAAATATTATAAAAAATTTATGATATTATTTTTTATTTTTTAAATTTATTTATTTGATTTAAATATATTACATATTTATTTTGTAACTTATTAATAATATTATAATATATAAATTCATGTATATTTATAAATATATTTATATTAAATTAAAGAAATTTAAAATAACATATCGAAATAATTGATATTGATATATACCATATTTTTTTTAAAACATCAAAATGTTATCCTATGTCGATTCGAAATCAAAATCTCGTTATGAATTGAGCCAACGAATTGACAACCTCATTACAGCTTCAAATGAATATATAAAAGGAAAAGGGTCCCGGACCCGGAGTTGAGCTCAAGCATTGGTCCAATCATTAAACATTTTAGAGCCCAACCATGTTGGGCTAAAACGCCTAAAATGTAGCCCAATCTTGTTAGGCTAAGAAGCCCAAGAGCTAGCATCCAGCTAAAGATTCAAGGCTGAGCCTCTGCAACACCAAAATGACCTCTGCTGCTCTCCAAGGTTACCAAAATTTTCCAGAGAGCAGGGAATTGAGAAGCAGACCCTAACTCGCCCAAAGTAAGAAAATTGAATTAAACAAAAAAAAAAAAAAGAGGAACAATGGTGAAGGTGCGCATGAACACGGCCGATGTGGCCGCCGAAGTCAAGTGCTTGCGAAGATTGATCGGCATGCGTTGTTCCAACGTCTACGATCTCTCTCCCAAGGTTTTTATCCCTTTCCCCTTTATTCAATAACTCAAAAAAAAAACAGAAGAATTTTTTCTAAAATATGGCGATTAATTCTGATGGCTTGCGCTTGTAGACATATATATTCAAGTTGATGAATAGCAGCGGCATTACTGAGTCGGGAGAGAGCGAGAAAGTTTTGTTGTTAATGGAGAGCGGCGTCCGTTTACATACCACTGCTTATGTTCGGTCTGTTTTTTCTTTATAATAATGTCAAATTTCTTTTTAATCTTTTAAATTTTCATTACAATTTTTTTAAAAATGTTTATAGGGACAAGAGCAACACTCCTTCTGGCTTTACTCTCAAATTAAGAAAGCATATTCGAACTAGAAGGCTTGAAGATGTTCGGCAGCTCGGTTATGATAGGGTAATCATTTTTTTTCATTTTACCTTGCTTTGATTTTTTTTTTTTTTCATTTTTATAGGATTTTTATATGCTTGTGTTGGCAGATAATTCTTTTCCAATTCGGGTTAGGCAGTAATGCTCATTATGTAATCTTGGAATTGTACGCACAAGGAAACATTCTCCTTACTGATTCTGAATTCACTGTCTTGACTCTTCTTCGTTCCCATAGGTAGCTTTTTTTCTATTACTTTTTGAATTCATAAATTTTGTGAATGCAGTAAAAATTGGATACTTAGTGATGGTCATTTTTGTCTTACATTTTCTTCCTTTTCGAAAATCATGGTTTGAATGTTTGCCAGCTTGTAGTTAAGCCAACTAGTTTGATAAAGGAATTGTACACATTCATTATTGGCAGGGATGATGATAAAGGGTTTGCAATCATGTCACGCCATCATTATCCTACTGAGATCTGCCGGGTTTTTGAGCGAACTACCATCTCAAAGCTGCGGACAGCCCTCACTTTTTCTAGTGAACCTGATGAGAATGAAGCTACTAGGGTTATTGAAGCTGGGAATTGTTTGCCTGACGCACCAAAAGGAAAAGAAAAAGAAAAAGAAAAGAAGGGTAGTCAAAAGACTGGGAAACCTTCTGAGCCAAACAAAAGTGCCAATGATAATGCTCGTGCTAAACCGGCAACATTGAAGAATGTTCTTGGGGAGGCATTGGGTTATGGTCCTGCACTCTCTGAGCATATTATTTTAGATGCTGGCCTGGTTCCAAATACAAAAGTTACTAAAGATAACAAGTTAGATGATGATAAAATTCAAGTTTTGGCCCAAGCTGTTGCAAAATTTGAGGACTGGCTACAGGATGTTATATCGGGTGACATGGTTCCTGAAGGATATATTTTAATGCAGAAAAAGAATCCAGGAAAAGATGGCTCCCACTCTGAAGGAACTACTGGCCAGGTTGCTGTTGTATTATTATCACTTCTTATCAAATTTGCTGTAGAGCTGAGTTGATAATTCATCCTTCAAATCAATGATTGAAGTTATTATGTTGAATTTCCTGCTTCATGGTGTTCTTGCTAATTCTTCTCTGGTTATTCTCTGCAGATATATGATGAATTCTGCCCTATTCTATTGAATCAGTTCAAGTCAAGAGAGTTTGTGAATTTTGAAATGTTTGATGCAGCTTTGGATGAGTTCTACAGCAAAATTGAGAGCCAGAGGGCTGAGCAACAGCAAAAGACCAAGGAGAGCTCTGCCAGTCAGAAATTAAACAAGATTCGCTTGGATCAGGTTTGTGATATAATTCAAAAATATGTTGTTGCTTTATGATCTTGATAGCATGTCTATCCTTAAAATGATAATCAAAGGTGTTTCTTGGTTTTTTTATTGTCATGTTAATGCAAGTCATGTTTTGCTATAGGAAAATCGTGTTCATATGCTGAAGAAAGAAGTTGATAATTGTGTCCGAATGGCAGAATTGATAGAGTACAACCTAGAAGATGTTGATGCTGCCATAATAGCTGTTCGTGTAGCTCTTGCAAAGGGTATGAATTGGGAGGATCTTGCTCGTATGGTAAAGGAAGAGAAGAAATCTGGAAATCCTGTGGCCGGCCTAATCGACCAACTGCATCTTGAAAAGAATTGCATGACATTGCTACTGAGCAACAATCTTGATGAAATGGATGATGATGAAAAGACACTCCCGGTGGATAAGGTTCTATTTTAGTTTAAATTTAGGTTCCCCTTGCCAGTGCACTGTAAACTTATCTGTATCTATATTGCTTATTTATTCTTCTTTCATTAATTTCTATTTACATATTGATCCGCGTCTGAAGAAATCTGCATACATTTACCTGATTTGTTCAATATTGATAATTTTTAGTTCTTCATGTTGCATATATTTGTAAATTAATTTTAAAATTTTAGATGACTTGGGGGTTCTCTGCATAAATGATTTAACTCCCGCAAACTACAACCTAATTATCTGAGTTGCTATTGCTGTTTTTCACTTTGAAAAGGTTGAAGTTGATTTGGCGCTTTCAGCTCATGCCAATGCTCGACGGTGGTATGAAATGAAGAAAAAGCAAGAGAGCAAACAGGAAAAGACTATCACAGCACATGAGAAGGCTTTTAAGGCAGCTGAGAGAAAGACTCGTCTTCAGCTTTCACAGGTAGCTTTAACCGTTCAGATACTTGTTTCTGTTACATTTTAAGTTTGATTGGTAGAAAATATAATGAAATATATTATTTAAAAGTAAGGATACACTTGTCATTAGCCTCTTCACTTAGGGCTTTGGACCTGCTCCAACTCTGACAGACTTCAAATTGGCTCTTTATGGTTTTATGATTCTGACCATTATTTTATTGTCCTTTGTTTTAGCTTGCTGAGTGCATTTTTAATGAATTGCAGGAAAAAACTGTTGCAACAATTTCGCATATGCGCAAAGTTCATTGGTTTGAGAAATTTAATTGGTTCATCAGCAGCGAAAACTATTTAGTTATTAGTGGACGTGATGCTCAACAGAATGAGATTATTGTCAAGAGATATATGTCAAAAGGGGATCTGTAAGTAATTTTCTTAATGGTTTACATATTTGTTCTTTTTTTTCTTTCCAAGCTATTGCATTTTTAAGTTTCCCCTGGATGTTCTTGGTCCAAAGTGCTAAGCAATAGAGTTCACCATGAATATCAATAGTCTGCTAGCATAGTAAGGCAATTGTTTCCTTTCTCTCAAAGTTTCATTAAAAGTTGCCCAAGTGGGGACGTGAGTTGAGGAAGAGTTTTTCACTCTAATTTAGATTTCTTTCTGCTTCTTCTTTCTTGGAGAAATGAGCATTCCTTAATTATTTCAGCATTTTTCTACTTGTTATTTCTTAAACATGGTTTACAATGTAGAATTTGAATTTTAATAGTCATTTGCATAATGAAACAGGTATGTCCATGCTGATTTGCATGGGGCTTCTAGTACAATAATCAAGAATCACAGGCCAGAACAGCCAGTACCACCTCTCACTTTAAACCAAGCAGGATGTTTCACAGTAAATAATCTTCCCATGTCCTTCGTTAATTTACTTTCTTTTTTGTGTATTTCTAGCTGGATTTTTTGTTTATTTTTCCACTACCTGGTTTCTAAATACAATTCATGCAGCTAAAAGTTCAATTTTGTGAAATAGGTTTGTCATAGCCAGGCATGGGATTCAAAGATTGTTACCAGTGCTTGGTGGGTTTATCCCCATCAGGTAAGTAAAACTGCTCCTACAGGGGAATATCTTACTGTGGGGAGTTTCATGATACGTGGGAAGAAGAACTTTCTTCCTCCACATCCTCTTATAATGGGATTTGGATTATTGTTTCGCTTGGATGAGAGCTCCTTGGGATCGCATTTAAATGAAAGGAGGGTGAGGGGTGAGGAGGAAGGGATAAATGATGTTGAAGAAAGTGGTCATCCCATAGAAAATTCTGAGTCAGAATCAGAGAAAGGTGGTGAAGCAACTGATGTGCCTGAATTAGCGGTTGAGAACAGTGCTAGCTTGAATGATGTTGGACATGCAGATATATCTGACATTGTTGACAGTGGTATTGCCTCTGTGAGTCCCCAACTTGAGGATCTCCTTGATCGCACTCTAGTGCTTGGATCTGCTAGTCTCTTGGGTAAAAATTCTGTTCTGGAAACATCTCAAAATGATTTGGCAGAGGAAGATTACCATGAAGAGAAGAATGCTGCAATTGGGGATAAGCCTTATATTTCAAAAGCTGAAAAAAGAAAGCTCAAGAAAGGACCAAGCAGTACCGCTGCCAATGCTAATATTGAGAAGGGAAATGAGAAGGCAAAAGAGAATGATAATGGAGTACCTGAAAATAATGTGCAAAATAAGAAATCAGGTGGTGGAAAAATAAGCCGTGGGCAGAGAGGCAAACTCAAGAAAATAAAGAAGTATGCTGATCAGGATGAGGAAGAGAGGACCATTCGGATGGCGTTACTGGCTGTGAGTACACCAAGTTGATTATTTCTTCCACAAAATATTTATAAATGTTGTAGACTTCTCTTTCACTCTCTTTCTGTCTGTCTGTCTGTCTCTCTCTCTCTCTCTCTCTCTCTCTCTTTATCTCTCTTGGAGAGAAGAGGAGGGGGACGTCTTCATGCTTCATATTCTACTGGTTTTAGTCTAGACTTGAAACTGATAATTTTATGAATTGCAGTCTTCTGGGAAAAGTAACAAAAATGATGGAGGGTCAGATGATGGAAACACTATTGCCAGCAACAACCAGAAACCCAATGCTAATGGTATGTTCTTTCCAGAAATATTGGTGGCAAATTAGATATTGTTCAAATTTCTAGTAATTCAAAGTAGACAATCCCGTTATGGGGCTGTAAATTCACTTGTTTTTAAAATTTTCAGGTTCTCAAGATGCTCCAAAAGTATGTTATAAATGTAAAAGGGTAGGCCACCTTTCCCGGGAATGTCCTGAACATCCCGATGATACTTTGCATCATGCTACTGTAGTTGGAGATGATCGCCGTGCAGGTTTGGATGATAATAATGAGTTGGACAGAGTGGCCATGGAGGAAGACGATGTCCATGAGATAGGTGAAGAAGATAAAGGGAGATTAAATGATGTGGATTACTTGACAGGGAATCCTCTGCCCAGTGACATTCTGTTATATGCTGTGCCTGTCTGTGGTCCTTATAGTGCAGTGCAATCATATAAATACCGCGTAAAGATAATTCCCGGCAATGCAAAGAAAGGAAAAGGTATCAGAATTCTTATGTTGAAATCAAACCATCATCATTTTGAATTGTGTTTTTTGTTGCTAGAATTTCAGGATTTTATTCTTTTCATAATACTTAGCTATTGGTGCCTATGAAATTTTACTAGTTTTCATAAGACGATTTTAGTATCAAGTCCAAAGCATGTTTACCCTTTTTTTTAACTCTTTTTTCGTTTGTATTCTTCTGTAGCTGCAAAGACTGCAATGAATCTGTTTAGCCACATGCCAGAAGCAAGTAACAGGGAGAAGGAATTGATGAAAGCATGCACAGATCCAGAGCTAGTTGCTGCAATTATCGGCAATGTGAAGATCACAGCTGCTGGTCTTACTCAATTGAAACAGAAGCAAAAGAAAGGCAAGAAAAGCAACAAAGGAGAAAGCTAGGCAGTGTAGTAGAAGACAGGACTAACGAAATCAATCATTGTCTTGTACTTTTCTTTTTGCATGTACCCGAAAATTTTTGGTTTATACTTTTTCTCAGTTGGATTTGCAGTGATGGATGATCATCAAAGGGGGCTATGCAAAAAATAAATAAAGAATCTTCTGCTTCAGGAACATCACTCACTCGGGTCCAAACCCCCTGCTGGCAAGTCTTATCTAAGGGGACCCAATATCCCATTAGAGCTCAGAGTTGAGCCACTCTGCAAGATTAATCACCAAAGGAACGGTCAAGTTAACCGTATGGACATTAATCTAACACCACTCATTTCTAGAATGAGCGAACTAGCTCGTAACTAAAATTGTACCTCAGGCTAGTATGTAAGCATGCATGACTCGAGCCATAGCTTCTGTTTGAGCACGTCTCTGCCTGAATTAATTGTATGAGCCATCTTTTCAGCCTGTTAGAAAAGGAAAAGCCAAATCAACAGTTGTTATGCTGATGATTCAAAGCAACAACAACAACAACAACAAAAGGTAAATGCAGTATATAACAACAAAGTAGGGTCAACATTCAACACGAGAATTAATTTACAATGCAATTGCAGAAGAGGATTGAGACCACTATCGGATAATCTACCTTCTCAATGGTAATGGCTCTTTCACTGTCATTGCTCAGTATCATGACCTATACATCGTTTGACATGGTCTTTAACTAAAATACATTTCTAAGAATTAGAACTTGTTTCCAAGAATTAACTTGAATTAATTAGGATTGGAACAATATATATATATATATGTATGTATCTAAGATTAAATTAAGAGGCATGAACAAACAGAACTAATAACCCAATTCATTATTATAACTTATTCCACTCAATATGACAAACTATTTGTGGTATGTTTATACATAATTTACAAATTATGGTTATATATATAGTAATTGAAATATATATTCGTCAATTGAAGGGTTGGTTTTGCTTGTTCTACAAATATACTAAGACTAATAATTTTACATGAGTTTATAACGAGAATGCATGCCTTCTTTGATTTGGTTGAATAAGAGAGCCGACTTCTGCTTCCCCTTCTTCTGCCTTATACATGATGCAGCCAGGTTATTTATGTACATATTGGAAAGCTGATCATCTCTCTTATCATAAATTTTATCTGTTCATTTTGAAATTCGAACTAACTAAAAACATTAAAAATGAAATCTTATAGTATGTTTTAATTAAGCATTTGAGATATTCTTTTAGGACGACATCTTTTGTTATCTAAACTATGTATGTATATCCGAAAGAGTCTCACTCTCACCTGCAGGGACTTTGACAATAAAATAGAGTATTGATGATTGGGGGGATTGGATTCTCAAAAAATGTGAGAATTATACCAATGTAAAGGAATCCTTATTATATAAATATACGGGAAGTATTTCTTAGCTCACATGCTCCACATTTTAAATTCATCGAAGCTTGTGCTTCTTCCATTTTCTTATAATAACAATAATTCCTTGACAATTAATAAAGAAAAAAGATCCAGAATTATTTGGGTAGAATAAAGGCCAAATTTTCTGGCCTTATGTACACTTGTTCACAATATATGAGAGGAATAATATCCATGTCCAAAATATTTCCATCAGGAATATAACTGAAAACGACTCTCAAATTCAAAAAACAAAAAAAAGTAGATCAAATTGAAGCCATTTTCAGCTTTTCCACTTGCAGAAACTATGAACAAGTGAGATTCATAGTATTTTATAGCACTACATTTTTTTTTTTTTGTGGTCATCATCTTCAAGACATCAACCAAGCAATATTCCCAACTGAGAATATTTTTCCAATGAACTACTACGTTAAGTTAAGTTGATTCTTCCACATGTCGAAACCTTTTTCGGTTTTTTCCAGAGATTTCCCTTTATGTATTTTCTTTATATAGTTTGTTTATGTAAAACGACAAGGATGGTATGTCAACATCTTTTGTAAAAGTATATATATAATATAGACTTTGAAAACAATCGATTATTAATGCATTTGGTCGTCCAACTTTGTCTGAAAACCTACAGTGTTTGAATCGTATGGAACATCTTCTGTTTTCTTCAGTAACTTTTTATTAGCTATACATTTCTCTTTCTCTTTTGCTTTATTCTCCTCTCTAGTCTCCTATCTTGAATTTGCTTGTAAAATTTGAACAGCACAAAGAATATCCATCTTTTCTTTTTGTTTAATTAGGTAATGCTGGCCTATATGGTTATCAAGATACTCAAATTAATGGTGTGTATATATATATATATATATATATATATATATTATTAGCAAGAGAAACAGTCTTTATGTGATTTGCTCAATCGATTTTATCTCCACACAAAGAGTTTATGTATATTTTTGATATATGTGATATTAGACTACACAATAGATGGCAATTCTCTCTTATCTTATCAATTCATCCAGTTTATCAAAAATTTAATCTCGAGACTTTTAAGATTAAATCCTAAGTTTCAATTGTAGTAGTGTAGAGTTTATATATATTGAAACCCTAGTAAAAGCTAAGGTTTGCACTATGGTTTGAAGAAAACTCTTTATTGTTATAGTGGCACAATTTCATATTTCTCCATCTTTTGAAGGCAGAAGCATATATAATAAAATTGAATGTATAATTAATTTGATTTGGATAGAAATAATTATAGTAACACATGAAGAGCAAACATAATTTTCTCTTAGTTAATAAGAGAAAATCTTGGGGAATCATTTCCACTAAATGCTTTTTTTAGTTAATTAACCGCAAATTAAGGGCATCCTTATATTTCTCCAATTAACCATCAATGATACATATATATTTAATATTCTGATGCAAATGGGATTGATTAAATTAATAAAAATCGAATATTAATTTTAAATTTGATATTCACTACCAGTAATCTTTTTTTATAGAAATGATATCGTAATCTAATAATAAATAAAAGAGTTATAGATATAGAATTTTAAACTTTAGATTTGTTGGATGTCACAAAAATTAATAAATCAGCTGAATTAAATTTCAAGTTCATATATATTAGTTATCTTCTTTGGTGGATAATTTATAAATATTCGAGTAACCTCCCCTCTCCTAATTTTTTTTTTAATGCTGTGATATCACATTAGCAAGGTCAATTATCTATCCAAAAAGAGCAACTAATCAGTTACCGGTGAAGGATTGAGATGGTAGGGGATACCATCAAGATGTTACCACGAGGCATACATTTCATCATCACTTGAAAAAAATAGCCAAGTACCATTAACTTCCAAAGTTACAGTTATTTCTAAGCTTTGTTTGTGTTATCCTCATCACCTACTACCAATTGAAAGCATCATCCTTAAAACTAAATAAGGCATCTTGATCAAATCAGATTACCAACTAACAGATGTGGTAACTCGGTTTTAACCGTTTGATATCAACTGATACCAAAGTATAGATAGTGCTTTATGTTATGATACACATGAAGTATAGATGGTCCAATAAAGGGCCTTGGCTTTTAATGTGTCAAATGTTTAGAAGAGGCAAGTGTAAAATTTCCTTTGCCAATTCAATAGAGTTAACAAAAATTACTCCAAATTTTGTTCATATGCCATTTTCACCACCATTTCTTAAAGCTTATATATAGACTCAAACCTTCTTCATCAACTCCCCATCTCAATATTCCAAGTTCTTAGCATAACTTCTTAGCTTTTACTTCCTTTTTTTGTTTTATCCTAACTACGAGATGTCTCAAAATGCTGTTTCTGATTATGATTCGACTCTTGATGTCTGTCCCAAGAGGGCTTATGTGACTTTCTTGGCTGGAAATGGAGATTACGTGAAGGGAGTGGCGGGATTAGCAAAGGGTTTAAGAAAGGCCAAGTCGCTGTACCCTTTGGTGGTGGCTGTTCTTCCTGACGTGCCTGAAGAGCACCGTGAGATTCTTCGATCTCAGGGATGTATTGTCCGGGAGATTGAGCCTGTTTATCCACCTGAGAACCAGACCCAGTTTGCCATGGCTTATTATGTTATTAACTACTCAAAACTTCGTATTTGGGAGGTGATAAAGAATTAAAGACTACTTTTCAACTCGAAGTATAACAATTTTGCTACCACACTTGCAATTTTCATGGCATTACATCCATGCAGTCGATGCACGTTGCATAAGTATAATATTGGTTATGAGTATTTAAATTTTGCTTTTTTTAATTAACGATTTTAATCAGAAAATTTTCATATTAGCCTAATGCATTTAAGATTTTACTATCTGAATGTCCATAAAAATTGGAGATTTCTTTAATTCAATATATAACTGACTATCTTATCAAGTTTAAGAAACTTGGTAAAATGTTAATTGTTGGGTTAATTTGCAGTTTGTGGAGTATGAGAAGATGATATACTTGGATGGAGACATTCAAGTGTTTGACAATATTGATCACCTTTTCGACTTAGCCGATGGGTATTTCTATGCTGTTATGGATTGCTTCTGCGAGCAGACATGGTCCAGCTCTCCCCAGTACAAGATTGGCTATTGCCAGCAATGCCCTGAAAAAGTGAAGTGGCCTGTTGAAATGGGCTCTCCTCCTCCACTTTACTTCAATGCCGGTATGTTCGTTTATGAACCTAACCTTCTCACTTACCATGACCTCCTGGAGACCCTCAAAGTCACCCCTCCGACTTCATTTGCTGAGCAGGTAATGAATAATCTTCTCTTCCTAGTAATTACTTTACATAGTTTTAGATTAGACACTTAACATTATTACTAGGCTTACACGTTAAAGCAGTGCTAAGTGATTTTTATTTCATATCCATTAAGGTTTGAATTTCTTGTGGTTTTTTATGCGGAAATGCAGGACTTTCTGAATATGTTCTTCAGGGAAATTTACAAGCCTATCCCACCTGTTTACAACCTTGTTTTGGCTTTGCTGTGGCGCCACCCTGAAAATGTAGACCTTGACAAAGTGAAGGTCGTTCATTATTGTGCCGCGGTAATAATTAATTAGCTTTATTATAGACCAATTTCCATAGATATATATATATATATAAATAATTAAATGTTATATACTTATTATAGGGATCGAAGCCATGGAGGTACACTGGGAAGGAAGAGAACATGGAGAGGGAAGACATAAAGTTACTGGTGAAAAAATGGTGGGATATTTATGAAGATGAATCTCTAGATTACAAGAACGCCACCATGGCTGAACCAGGAAAGCTTGGATCCTTGATCTCTACATTTACTGAGGATGGTGTGGTTAATCACCAGCGGATTGCTCCATCTGCTGCTTAAGCAATCTTATTACATATACTAAGCATTTTTTAAGCATAAGTATTAGTTTGGTGAATTAATGGTTATATATTGGGGCACTTAATTTCTGTCTTTAAAGCTATGTATCCCTGTTTATCATTGATCTTGAAGTTTTTAAGGTTATAGGATTGGGTGTGTTTCCCATTGACTCTTATAATATAGGAAATAAATAACGGATTTTCTGTTATTGGGTACTCCTTTTCCTTAATTATGGCAATTAATCTTCTTTTGTCCATTATTATTATTATTATTATTATTATTATTATTATTATTCAAGTATCAGAATATATTAGATTTTGCTAACAAGTACCTTAAAGGTTTAAAGGTCTCGTAACAAAAAAAAAAAATATATTTTTAATGCATTAAAATTATCATATTAATTATCAATTATTGCATTTAATACAAAATATTACTATAAATAATATGTAAATTAACCTTAAAAATTGCGTATTTATTAACAAAATCTTTTTTACAAAATCAATTTTATATTCGTAATATTCTTCTTATTTAAAACCCTTTTTATCCTTATTTCTTTCTTATCAATTTAGAAAGAGTATCACATCAAGAATTAAAGAATTATAATTGTTAATAACTAAATCACTAAAACACGAAAAAGGCTACTAAGTGATTGATTAAATAAATAATTATCTAATTATCACAAAAAATTTTTATAAAAAAAATCATGAAATTTGCACATGACAAAGTGCACAATAAACTAATATTATCTAGCCATGTGGTTACTTTTGATTCACCAATAATTTAGTTCAAAATTTTTTTGTTTTTTTTCAAAAGAGGTCGTAACCTGTCAAAAAAAAAATTAAAATACTCTTATAGCAAAACTGAATTTAATTTCGGTAAATTATCCTAGTTGCTCTAACCATAGAAATAATCAAGCTCATTTAACTGACCCTTGATATTTTTTCCATTTAAAAACTTGCATATGCATGAAATCAAAGGAAATTATCAACATTCATTGCTCAAAATCTTATTACTTTATACTTTAAGTTAATCATGATCAGAATCAAATTCTTAGGAAAAAAAATATTCACTTGCCTCGTCATTTAATTTTTTTTCCTTTCCCACCATCTCTTGTTTTTGCTTATTTAAATAGGCCGAGGGCATGCAATTCCTTGCTTCATATCTCCACATCAAATTCTCTTTCAACTTTTAATTGATAATTTTCTTACATTTTTACATAAAATCTTTTCGAGTCTTTTTGTCTTTTAATTTTAGTGTTAACAAAGATATGTCTCCAATACTTAATACTGTGGCTGAGTCAATGGAAGTGTCCAAAAGGGCTTATGTGACTTTCTTGGCTGGCAATGGAGATTATGTGAAGGGTGTAGTGGGTTTAGTTAAGGGTTTAAGGAAGGTAGGATCTGCCTACCCTTTGGTTGTGGCCATCTTGCCTGATGTGCCCCAAGAGCACCGTCAAATTCTTCTATCTCAAGGCTGTATTGTCCGGAAGATCGAACCGGTACATCCCCCTCCCAACCAGACCCAGTTTGCCTTGGCTTATTACATTATCAACTACTCCAAACTTCGTATTTGGGAGGTAATTAAATATAATATATACATTAGCCTTTCTTCAATTTATGTTTCTTTGCTATTTTTGTTTACCAAATATACTTTTTAGTAGCATTTGATAATGGGCAAAAAGCAGAGAAAAATATAGATAGATCTCCTAATGCTTCATGTTTTGTATAGTTTGTGGAGTACGACAAGATGTTATACTTGGACGGGGATATTCAAGTGTTCGACAATATAGATCACCTTTTTGATTCTCCAAATGGGTATTTTTACGCTGTTATGGACTGTTTTTGTGAGAAGACATGGTCTAACTCGACTCAGTATAAGATTGGCTACTGCCAGCAGTGCCCTGAAAAGGTTAACTGGCCAGTGGAGTTGGGGTCGCCACCTCCGCTCTACTTTAATGCCGGCATGTTTATGTTCGAGCCTAATCTTTTTACCTACTTTGATCTCCTGGAGAACCTCAAAATCACCACCCCAACTTCATTTGCCGAGCAGGTAATTGACCATGCATCAACCCCAAGATATGACCATTCACCAATTATTTCAAAATTAGCTAAAATTTACAGTTTCATTTGAATTATTTTCCTGCAGGACTTCCTTAACGGTTTCTTTAGGAATGTTTACAAGCCTATCCCTCCTGTTTATAACCTTGTTTTGGCTATGCTGTGGCGCCACCCTGGAAATGTGAACCTTGACAAAGTTAAGGTTGTTCATTATTGTGCTGCGGTAAGACTGCTTGTTAGAACTGAAGTACATTAGTTACTTCTTATTTTTATTTATCTTATGTTTTAATCATTAAAATCTATTATTGTTTAATTTGTTATCTGATTTGGTTTAAGGGTGCAAAGCCTTGGAGGTACACTGGAGAAGAGGATAACATGCAAAGAGAAGACATCAAGATTCTAGTGAAAAAGTGGTGGGAAATATACGAGGATGAGTCGCTTGATTACAAGAATTTCATGCCTGCTCAGCTCGGTAACCTGGAACCTTTGATGATGTCAACGCTGTCTTCCAGTCGTGTCCTTGAGCAAGGAAGACTTAAGGCTCCATCAGCTGCTTGAATATTAATTAATCCTAGCTAGGTAGCTAGAATTATATATGGTGTTTTATTGATTATTGGGTTCCAGTTAATTTCCTTTAATCCCAGTATATATAATTAGGTAATCATATATTTAGAGGCAGGCATGCAAATATTTGTGCGTGTGTGTCCACTTGATTTGGAACAAGTCTATCTTTCTGCAATTTACTACTACTATTGAAGCAAAGAAAATAATTTTTTTTTTCAATTTTCTTATTTGTTTCGAATTTTTGACATAGCATATATATAATTATTGAATATATTCAAAGACGAGATCTTTAAATTCATAAGTAAATAAATTAATTCATAAATGAAATATCACAATCAAATCCATAATTAGGAGTAAAATGTTTGGAAGAAAAGTGCATGAGATCTATAACATTTATAAATTGTTATATGGAATTTATTTTAGAGTAAAAAGTAAATACAAAGGAAAAACTCTTTTTTATTAAAGCTGTGAATTACTAGTGGTAATGACTAATGAAAAAGGAGATATGCTAGGCAATTTAGGATCGTGAAATTAGATCAATCATTTTGTTAAAGCCAATTTTGCTATATCTAAAAAATCATATATATTTGAAAATTGATATCACTGTTAAGAGTATAAACGATGGAATATAAAAAAACGAATATATGTATATGATCTGTTTATTTATTTTTAAAATTATTTAGATTTAATTTGTATTTAATAAAAAAAATTTATTAGTTCAATTTATTTAAGTAATAAAATATTTATATTAAATTTAATTTAATTAAATAAACTCATATTTATAAATATCAAACGAATATATTCAGAAGTGATTTATCGATTTATACCCTTATCAGCATAGTTCTTCCCTTCCAACCACGCACAGCCCGGCATATTTTATCATGGATAGTTTCTTGGGTTTCAATTTCGTAGCCCAGTCCACACAGTATAAAACTGTCTGTCAAAATGACAAAAATGGCCTGGTAAGTAGTTGACCGATGACGTGAAATGAAAAAGGAATCAGATCTTCGAGAGATACAGGCACCTACCAGCTGTTGAGATAAGTGAAGACGGAGGAAAAGACAGAGGAAAAAAACATGGAGGAAGTAAAAGGAGTTGTGAAGCACATATTGTTGGCTAAGTTCAAAGATGAAACCACACCTGATAAGATCGAGGAACTCATCAAAGGCTATGCCAATCTTGTTAACCTAATTGAGCCCATGAAAGCTTTCCAATGGTAACCCTTTTCTATCACTGTTTCTTTTTTCAGTTCATTTTTTCAAACCCGTCTTTTCTTGTTTCTTCTATCTGGGTAATATAAATAATTTTCAGATCCACTGCATCTATAATTCTGGTTTTTATCTGTCTTTTTCTTTTGTTAATATTTTTTGAAGTCTGTTAGCAATCTTAAATCAATTGCATATGCAATCAAAATGATGTTGAAATTAAATAAAATAGTAATACATTAGCAATTGCAGTGCCTTGAAAAGAACAAACTTATGACTTTGGGAAAATTAGAGGAAATCAACAGTAAATTGATAGTTCTCTTTCAAGTAAAGCGTTCTTCCATCACCTTGCTTTGTCCAATGAATTGTTGGTCTTGCACTAAAATCATTTGCATCATGTTATATGTTGTTGTAACAGGGGCAAGGATGTTAGCATTGAGAACCTGCACCAAGGATTCACTCATGTGTTCGAATCCACATTTGAAAGTACTGAGGGCATTGCAGAATACATAGCTCATCCTGCTCATGTCGAATTTGCAAACTTGTTTCTACCCAGCTTGGAGAAAGTCATTGTATTTGACTACAAGCCCACTATCGTTCTTTGCTAAGTTAAAAGCATCGAAATTGTTGTCAATAATCCTGCAATGTTGTTTCTGAGTGAGTTTTTTTTTATGGTTCTGATCATGTCTGTTCTGTTCAACAAAAACAGGCATCTGCTGTACTTGTCTGTTCTGTTCAATAAAAGAAGACATCAGGGCTCAAAATTTTACAATCTTGAGCATTCTAATTGCTATTTTTTTTTTTTTTTTTAAAGTTGGAGCATGATATTTCATCCTATTTTCTTATTCTTTGGGACTGTAATTGCTCTGATCTTTGAGTTGTTGAGGGTTTAGATCTTTTTGGTACTTAATTGTGCCCTGCCAATTTGAGATCTATGCAAAATCATCAACATCTTTGATTCTCTTTTCACAAATAAATGATGAATAAATCATGGTCCAATTAATGACATTATCTCTTTCTCTTATGTTGTTGTCTTTTTTTCTTCCCATTTTACCACATTTCTAATTTCCATATTGCTAATTCTCCAAAATTAATGGAAAGCTCTGATTTATAATACGAGTACTTTAGTTGAAGTAGGTGGTTTAGGAGGGTTAATGTATAAATAAATGTTTGGAATTAATTGAATTCTAATAAATTAAAAATAAAACATAAAAGAAATATCAAAAGAATTATATAAAGATGAGCAATTGGTTAATTCGATTATGAAAGGGAAATAAATTACTACTATTATGAAGATAACACTTTGATTTGGCTAATCTCCATTATGTTTTGCTTCAAGGGAATTTGGATGCTTGAAAAGAGAATTAAGAATTTTTTTTTTTTAATTTAAGAAAATGCAAACAGGCTATATAATTATATGCACTACTTTGGAAAAAAAATTATGGGAAAACCCTACATTAAATAAACAAATAAAAAGGCCAGGAGCGAGGATTCAACAAAACGACATCGTTTATTTTTGTTTTGGCGTTGGCAGGTAAATCCTTCGATTTCCTTCCCCTTTATACTTTCTCGCTCTGAGTCGCGAGGGTTTTCACTGATTTCTTTCTTTCTCTTTTGATGCCACCCAAACAGCGTCTTCAGCTGATTCTCCCTGAAAGACGTTAAATTATCCCTCTTCCAAGCACAACCCAAACTCTAGTTTCAACGGATATAATTCTATATAGCTTTTCTGTTTCCAATGGCAACGACCTCTAATGGGCTCAACGGCTCAGGTGCCTTATTTTACTCTCTCTCTCTCTCTCTCTCTCTCTCTCTTTTGAGTTTTTGAAGGCTTTATTTTTCCCGGAAAATTTACCTCTTTGGTTGCTTTCTTTTTTAGAACAAGAAAAAAAAGAAAGGATCCCTTTTTATGTTGTTATTCTTTAAATACTTCCAATTTAATTGGGTTTCTTTCTTTTTCTTTTTTTTTTTTTAATCTGGGATTTCTTACTTATATTGGAATTTATATTTTCATGTATGAAAAGGAGGAAACTTGTATTGGATTGAATGCATGTGAATTTGTTAGATTCAAAGAAAGTAATGGCACTAGTTTCTATGTTAGAGAAACTTGCTTTATGGGTCTTTTTCGTTTTCTATTGTCCTGATGTTTCAGGTAATGTAAATGAAAAGGAGGGAACACTGAACGAGTCTGTGAAAGAAGATGTTATGGCTATGAATTCAGAGCCCCATCATGAAGATACTGGTGAGTTGTTGTGATTTGCTCAACTTAATATCCCCTCATCAATTCTGTTTTTGCTTTGGTTCCAGCTATGTTTATCATTTTAAAACATCTAGTGAAGCAAAGTGTTGAATTGTTGTTTTTGTTCATTATGGTAGAGGCGAAAGAAAGAGTGGAAGCAATGTGGGAGCAAATGAATAAGGGAATACCTAAGAATGTTCTCAGACAATTTTCAAGCAATAATTCCTCAGCCTTAAACAAAGCTTCACCCAAAGCTTCCAATGTGAGAATTTGCTCATTCTCTTCAATTTTAATGCAACTAATTATTAGATGATAGTTGTGTAGTAATTGTTTCCCGGGATTTTGTTTCACAGAATTGGATGAAGTATCTGCAATTGAGACCACCAAAGACTGCAGGGTCTCCTGGGCAAGACAGACAGACAGACGAGAAGGCTCGAAGTGCTGTGCAGAATGGAACAAGTCATAAGGCTCGGTTAGCGCAAGTAGATAAAGGAATATCTAATGCTACCCTCAAATCAGTTTTAAAGGAAGATAATTCAACTGGGGATACTAAATTTTCTCAGAAGATGTCTAATGTAAGTTGTTTTTCTTTCCCATATTGTTAACCCAGTCGGAAATTGGCTATAATTGAACTTTACCTGGATTACACTTAAATAGAATTGGATGATGCATCTGGGCATGCCATCAAATAAAACTGAAGCCCTTAGCAAAGATAAACCACTGAAGGAACCTACTGTGATGCAGAACAGCATCAGTGATGAGGCAAAGAAGCTTGCAGCTGCTGCCCTCGCAGCAGTGAAGGATGCTGCAGCAGCTGCAGCGGCTGCGTCAAATAGAGGGAAAATTGAGGTAAGCACAACCTTCTCCTACTCTGGTTAGAAAAAAGTTATAGCTACCAGTTAGAAATGCTTTAGTCATGAAATTGCATGGTTTATTTGAGCATGAAAGTATGTACCTCTTACTTTCTGGCAATGCTAGCTGTGGAAACTGAATGTATATTGAAAAACTGTTTATCTTCAATTATACAAGAATCTTAGGTTTATATACAACTAACTAGGGGTTAAACTAGGAAACTAAATCTTCCTTAATTCTAGGGATATAAATACTTAATTCTAGAGATACAAATATAAATATACAGATTACAAAATTACAACCAGTTGTAAATAAGTGTTTTCCCACACTCCCCCTCAAGCTGGTGAATAGGTGTTTTCCATTCCCAGCTTGGAAATAATTTCTTGAAATGTTGCACTGCTGAGACCTTTAGTCAAAACATCTGCAAGTTGACCCTTGGTTGATACATAAGGTGTACAAATCAACCCACTGTCTAGTTTCTCCTTTATGAAATGCCGGTCTACTTCAATGTGTTTTGTTCTGTCATGTTGCACAGGATTGTGTGCAATGCTTATTGCAGACTTGTTATCACAGTAGAGTCTCATTGATCCATCCCACTTGATCTTCAAGTCTTTTAGGATAATCTTTAACCATAGTAGTTCACAAATTCCTTGAGCCATTGCTCTGAACTCTGCTTCAGCACTTGATCTTGCCACCACATTCTGTTTTTTACTCCTCCAAGTCACAAGATTACCACCTAAGAAAGTGCAGTAGCCTGAGGTAGATCTTCATCAGTTACTGAACCTGTATAATCAGCATCTGTATATGCTTCTAGAACTAACCCCGAATCTCTTTTGAATAAGATACCTCTCCCAGGATTGGCCTTCAAATAGTGCAATATACGGTAGATAGCCTGTAGGTGCACTTTTTTAGGACTATGCATAAATTGACTTACCACACTCACAGCATATGCTATATCAGGTCTAGTATGTGAGAGATAAATGAGTCTTCCAACTAATCTTTGGTACATCTCTCTATTTACAGCAGCATCTTCATTAGCTTCTCCAATTTTATGATTAGGATTTATAGGGGTATTTGCAGGTTTACATGCAAGCTTCCTAGTTTCCTTCAGAAAATCCATCACATATTTCTGTTGTGAGATAAAAATACCATGCCGTGAGTGAGCTACTTCAATTCCTAGGAAGTACTTCAATCTCCCTAGCTCTTTTATCTCAAATTCTCTAGCCAAACACTGTTTTAGAGATTCTCTCTCTTTTTCATCATCTCCAGTTACAATTATATCATCAACATACACTAATAGAACTGTGACTCTCCCTGAATCAGAGTGCTTGATAAACAATGTGTGATCTCCTTGACTCTGTTTATATCCCATTGCTAGCATCACTTTGGCAAATCTCCCAAACCAAGCTCTAGGAGACTGTTTAAGGCCATATAAAGCCTTTTTTAACCTGCATACTTTGTTTGCTTCTAGATGACCTTCAAATCCCGGTGGAACCTTCATATATATTTCTTCTTCCAAATCACCATGTAAAAAACCATTCTTTACATCAAATTGTTGAAGCTGCCAATTGTAATTTGCAACTAATGATAACAAAATCCTAACTGTATTCATCTTGGCAACTGGAGCAAAGGTTTCCTGGTAATCCACTCCATAGGTCTGAGTGTAGCCCTTAGCCACTAACCTGGCTTTATACCTTTCAACAGTACCATCTGCCTTGTATTTTACAGTGAAAACCCATTTACACCCCACTGGATTTTTTCCTTTAGGCAACTCTACCAGTTCCCATGTCTGATTTTTCTCTAAGGCCTCCATTTCTATTTTCATGGCTTGCCTCCATCTCTCATTGGATAATGCCTCGGATAATGTAGTTGGAACAGAAATGGTGTTTAGGCTCAGAAGAAAATTTTTGTGGGATGGTGAGAATTTTTCAAATGACACAAAATTAGATATTGGGTATAGTGGATGCTTGGTACATTCTTTGGTTCCTTTCCTAATGGCAATAGGGAAATCATAATCACTAGTTATAGTTTTAGGAGATTCATGCTCATTTTGAGAAACAGAGTCAAAAACTGTAGTTACCTCATTTTCAGAGTTAGGATCAGGTTCTTGGACTGGCACTGGTTCAGGATCTGAAACTTTCCTTCTTTAGTACACCTGTAATTCCTTCATAGAATCAAGAACAATATTATCCTTTGTCACATCTTTCGTATTTGGAATGGGTTCAGACTCAAATTCAATGTTTGACTTGGGCTCAGCAGAAACAGGTTTTGACTCATAAGAATTAATAGGTGTAAATGTTGAAGAAGGGGGCAAATCAAGCAAAAAGAATTTTTTATCCTTATCTTCCATGAATGAAGTCTCCCCCAGAAGATAAGGTTGAGTAAAAAATGGTTTATTTTCTTCAAAAGTGACATCTGCAGACACATAAAATTTTTTGGTAGGAGGATGATAGCACTTATATCCTTTTTGAGTTGAAGAAAACCCCACAAAAATACACTTAATCGCTCTTGGATCCAATTTTCCCCTGTTATGACTGTGAACATGAACAAATGATGTACAACCAAATATCCTAGGTGTGATTGTTTGTGGTATTGAGGTTGGGATAAAATTGTGAGAGTAGTTCCATAGGAGTTTTAAATCCCAAAACTCTTGAAGGTAACCTATTTATAATGTGTGTGGCAGTGAGAACAGCTTCCCCTCAATAAGATTTAGGTACATTTGCTTGAAAAAGAAAGGCTCTGGTTGTGGCTAATAAATGATTGTTTTTTCTCTCTGCCACTCCATTATGCTGTGGAGTATTAACACAAGATGACTCATGGATAATCCCCTCTTTTTGGAAATAGGTGGATAGACTCTGGTTGAAGTAGTCTTTTGCATTATCAGACCTAAATCTCTTGATTCTTATTCCAAATTGATTTTGAATCATGTTTTGGAAGCTTAAAAACACACTATTCACATCTGATTTGGATTTAAGTAAAAAAACCCAAGAGACCCTAGTACAATCATCTATGAATGAAACAAACCATCTCGCACCAGAAATATTAAGAATTGTAGAGGGACCCCAAATGTCACTATGAATCAAGTAAAAAGGAGTAGAACTTCTTTTGTTACTGATTGGAAAAGACACACGTCTATGTTTTGCAAATTCGCAAATATCACAATGATATTCTTCAACATGTAATTCTTTGAACAAAGAAGGAAACATGTTTCTCAAGGTTCCAAAAGAAGGATGTCCAAGATGAAAATGATAAAGCCAGATTTTATCTTTATTGGAAGATTTTTCAGAAAGAAATGACAAAGGTAAATTATTTTTTATACTACTTGTGTTATTTGATGTCTCAAGATAGTATAGTCCATTTTTCTCCTTAGCAAGTCCAATCATCTTCTCCGAACTCTGGTCCTGAAATTCACAATAAGAGGGATAAAAAGTTACTTTGCAATTCATATCTCTGGTAAGTTTTTGTATAGATATCAGATTAGTAGATAATCCAGGAACATGAAGAACATTTTTGAGAACAAACGAGGGATTAACTTGAACATCTCCTAATCCTGTCACTGTGGTAAGTGAACCATCAGCAACAACAATTTTCTTATTACTAGGACACAGGTTATATGTACTAAACTTTTGTGGGGAATGTGTCATGTGGTCTGTGGCTTCCTGAGTCAATGACCCAAGAACTCGTAATTGGGTTAGCCGAGACATTTAATCCATGAGAACCGGAAGCTTTACCTGAACTAGAACTTTACCCAAAGAACATACCATAGTAGGCTTTTCAAGGATTTTCAATAAGTTTCTCAGTTTTTCAATCTCTTCCCTGTTGAACTCTCCTTGTTTCTGAGACATCTGTACTCCAGTGATTTTTCCAGTTAACATTTCCTCAAATTGGGTGATAGTGATATCTTTCTTTGAAAGGGTTCGGCAATGAAGGCCTAAAAAAGTCGGCAATGAAGGCTGAAAATTTTTCTTCCCAAGAAAAACCTAAAGCTCTGATACCATGTGAAAACTGAATGTATATTGAAAAACTGCTTATCTTCAATTATACAAGAATCTTAGGTTTATATACAATTAACTAGGGGTTAAACTAGGAAACTAAATCTTCTTTAATTCTAGGGATACAAATACTTAATTCTAGAGATACAAATATAAATATACAGATTACAAGATTACAACCAGCTGTAAATAAGTGTTTTCCCACACTAGCTTCTGACTTAGCTTCAAAATTGTCTTTAAACAAATATTTGAGCTATGTTTCAATACCTGAGGAGTGCAAATGATTGCCTACGTCCTTTGTCTTCTAAGCACTTTGGTCAATTAATATTTTTGGTCGCAGCCAACTGATAAACTTGAAACTCCTAGGTAATGGGAATGCCTTTGTGGTCTGTAGATGAGCAAACTCCATGCCTGAGCAATGTACTTGCAATGTTCTTACATTCAATCTTCCTTTTTGTAGATAACTGAGGTTCGAGACTTTGCTGGTCAAGAAATTGAAATAAAAAAGTGTATTGATGCTGATTCAAAAGAGGCAGCTGAAAAGGCAAAAGCTCATGCACCTTCTGCTGTAGATGCTGTTCTTGAACAAATCAAGAAGAAGCCAAAACTCAGCGTGCTTGATAAGACGAAAAAAGATTGGGGAGAATTCAAGGAAGAAAATAAGGGGATGGAGGAAGAGTTGGATGCTTACAAGAAGAGCTCAAACCAGTATCTGGATAAGGTTTCTTTCTTGCAGCGGGCTGATTATCGGGAATTTGAGAGGGAGAGAGATGCAAGGCTTGCTCTACAGGCTAGGAGGAGACCTGACATGCGGGAGGAGCCATGACTATATACATTCCTAAGTTGCTTTTAATTGCATCATCGTGCGAGCTGCAGCATGAAAGACCCAGAGTTGTTGAGAATAGAGTAGGGGCCTTTTTTCCCATTACTAGGATGGAAGGCCCTTTAGCAAATACATTTCGGACTCTTCCTCTGTGTTTAAAATGCGAGTTATATTAAATCTTTTTGAGGTTGCTTGTCTTGTATAAATCTACTGGACGTCATGTGTCTTTCAGGAAAGAACATCACTGAAGGGGAAGCCAGTTAACATGCCAGCAAGGTTTCATGCGCACATTAGCTTACTACATGATAAATCAGTGATATTTGCTAATATAAAATGCCAGTGCTTTTTTGTTCTTTAATTCCTTATATCGTTTAATGTTTTTGAAAAGAAACTCATCCTCCGGTTTTCTTATTTGTTTATGCATGGAACAATTTAAGCACCGACTCAATTCCTTAAGATTCCGAGGAAGGTAGAAGAAACCAAACAGCGCACTATAACTTGCAATCTTTCATGCGTTGCTTGTATAAACAACTGTTTTTCACTTTCACAACGAATCCTGAATTGTTCACAAACAAAATATTCACTCAAACATAAGATAACTTCAATACATGTATAACAGGGAATCACCAGAGCATGAAATCTGATTCAAGATATTAAGTTTTTATTAAATTGCACATCAATGATCAAACAGATGACTGAACATGCTGCATTATTATGCCATTTAGACGATGGGGAACGAAGATAAGCAAATCTCTAGTCCAGCATGCCACCAGCTTCAAGTAAAGACAAACAAGAAAATGAACAGTTTGTGCTGAGTCATGTTGAAAATTCTCAAACAAAAATCAAAATGAAGAATAACATGTAAAATCTAGATTTCTATACGTGAATTGGCTTGTCATAGGTGGCCATCGCAGCTTCCTTCAATGCCTCACTCATTGTAGGATGTGCATGGCACACGCGTGCAATGTCCTCACTTGATGCATCATAATTAACGGCAAGGACTGCTTCATGGATGAGCTCTCCAGCATTTGGTGCCATGATATGGACTCCCAGAATTTTGTCCGTCTCCTTGTCAGCCAATATCTTGACTATTCCTTCAGCATCATCAATAGCCTTGGCTCGGCTATTTGCCAAGAAAGGGAATTTCCCGACACAGTAATCAATACCAAGAGCCTTAACCTGCTCCTCAGTCTTCCCAACAGATGCAACCTCAGGATGAGTGTAGACAACTCCAGGGACTTTGTCATAATCAACATGGCCATGTTTACCAGCTATGAACTCCACACATGCAACACCATCCTCTTCAGCTTTGTGGGCTAACATAGGCCCTGGAATTACATCTCCAATAGCATAAACACCAGCCACATTTGTAGTAAATCTTTCATTGACTAAAATTCGTCCTACCTTATCAGTTTCCACTCCTATCTTGTCCAAGCCAAGTCCAGCTGTGAATGGAGTTCTACCAGCAGAGACAAGAACAACATCAGCTTCAAGTGTGGTCTGCTCTCCACCAGCAGCTGGTTCAACAGTCAACTTCACACTGTTTCCACTAGAATCAACTCCTACCACCTTAGTTTTGAGCATGAATTTCATCTTCTGCTTCTCAAGTGAACGTTGGAATTGCTTGCGGATTTCTGCATCCATTGTTGGAACAATATCTGGGGCAAACTCAACAACAGTAACCTCTGAGCCTAGTCGGCCCCAGACTGAACCCATCTCAAGCCCAATATAGCCTGCCCCAATGACTATGAGTTTCTTAGGGACTTCTGACAAAGCTAAAGCTCCAGTCGATGACACAATCCTCTTCTCATCAATGGTGATACCAGGTAAAGATTTGACATCAGAACCAGTGGCAATTATGATATTCTTACCTTTTACAACAGTGCTCCCACCTTCAAGAGTGTCTACAGAAACTTCAGAGGGAGAAATGAACTTTCCATAGCCTTTGACATAGTTTACCTTGTTCTTCTTGAATAGACCTTCAATACCACGGGTAAGATTAGAAACAGCTTTGTCCTTCTGGGCCATCATAGAAGGCAAATCAACCTCAACAGAAGAAAATTTCACACCATGGCCAGCAAATGAATGCTTAGCTTCATGGTACATGTGAGAGGAATGAAGAAGTGCCTGAACGTAAAAAAGCAACATTAGAAAAATAAAAATTCTTAAGGCAATTAATAAACTTCATTCAAAGACTGAAGATAAAGGCTTATAGTAATCAAGTAGGTATTTTCAACACTAATTATATTAAAGAGAATGGTAAAGATGAGAATTTTTCTCTTCATTTATACAATTAGCAAATGCCATTTTCAACATTACAAATATAATACCGAATCACAGTTCTTCAAAGGGTATTCAGAACAGAAAGTGAGACAACCATTTTCAATAACAAGATCAGTTTTATAAGCATTTTCACCATATAATTCAGGACATATCACAACACTAAAAAAACCCATGCAAATATCTTCATATCATACTAATGATATTTAATCAGAGTCGATTAAGAACCCATAAATTAAAAAAAAAAATGAAATTTAGATCCAAAAACGAAATCGCAAAGCATACTTTAGAAGGGATGCAACCAACGTTGAGGCAGGTACCACCAAGGGTACCGCGCTTCTCGATACAGGTTGTCTTGAGACCTAGCTGTGCGGCCTTGATAGCCGCGACGTAGCCGCCAGGTCCGCCACCGATGACAACAACGTCGTTCTCTTCAGATCCTGAAGCGAAACCCCTTGAGAAATTGCTGAGTGAAAAAGAGTACTTCAACGCATCAGCAGGTGAATTTGCCAGGTTTCTCGACAGCACGTATGCCTTTCTTCTGGCCAAGCTTGCCAAAGCCATTTTCTTGATCAAAAACCCTGGCTTTAGATTGCGGCTCCAATAGTAATATTTTATTGTCATTTCTCAAATTGGGCTGCTTTAAATTTCTGTAATTGGTGATTCCCTGCGGCGGCTGTTCATGACTTTAGATGCTGCTCTTCCAATAGATAAACGACACGTGGATAATGAGGATCTGGAAGCTGGATGCTGTTGGATTAGTTGACTGTGAGAGACAACATTTTTGAGTTTGGTAGGTGGGGGGATCCTCTGACACGAGGCTCTACCAATCTGAACCGTTGACTGTCCAACTTTTTTGATTAAACTTGTTAGAAGATACCCAAACAAGTTATTGGGCTCATCATCTCTGGTAACTTTGATAGAATCATTGGAAGGTGGAAGTGGAAGGAAGTTGGTTGATTGGCATCATTGTTCTTTAGTCGGATGCAGCATGGGATTATTTTTGTCTCTTATTTTGATTGTAAGATAATAAAAACTCCAGAAAATGGTGGCCTTACAAGTCCTACCATCATATCCTTAGCGGGGTATATAGTGGTGGGCAAATGAAAGTTCCCGCTAGGGATATGAGATTACTCTGTACCAATCATTTGGCTGAACCTTCCAAGCAAAGTTTACGGACGATGATGATGCGGACAATAAACCAACAATAACATTATTCATTTTTAACGCTACAACCCATTTGAAACATGAATCCTCTTGAAACAAGAAGAGTTATTGGAAGCTGATAGTAGTTATATGAAAACGCAACCCATGAATTATACCAAATGCTTCTACGAGGAGGAAAGTGAGCAAGAACAAGGACACTAATCAACCCACCTTTCGGAGAAGGATGTGATCAAAGTTATAACTCCATTTTTGCAGTGAACAAGGACACATTGCAATTAAAAATAATCCCTCAATGTAGTTACACCACCAGACATCATAACATAAGACATACCCCTATTTTGCACTCTCTCACACCTACAAAACTGCTCGCTGCTTTTTCTAAACTCTCTGAAACAGCCAGAAACAGATTGCAACATTTTCTAGGAGTAACACAGTAAATAAACGAGAAATAATTTGTACGTACATTCAATTGCCTTCTAACAAGCTCTTCAACTTATTCCTAGCCTCCTTAGAGAGATTGCAAAACCTGAACCTTCGCTGTTGGGGTGGACATGACTCAACACGAGCAGGGGAAGAAAAGCAGATAATAATTGCAGTGAGATTATCTAATGAATTCAGGCGTGATGCTTCATTGACTAATTCTCTGGCACATTCTTCTGGGTCATTGTGTCTCCTTAGACCACGGCGAACAAAACTGACAGCAAACTGGCTTGGCATTACATCCCAAATGCCATCACAACCAATGATCAAAAATTCATCATCCTCTGATAACACAATCTGTCTAACATCTGGCTCTGCAATCAGAGGTGATGGTGATCCGACAGGAAATTTCAAGTCCCAATCTCCAAGAGCTCGTGTGACTGAGAGATAACCATTAAGATACCCATCATCAATGTAGCCACCCAAATCCTCAACTCGCTTGCGTTCAGGTAAGTAACAAGGTCTATGATCTTGAGACATTTCAAGTGCAACACCTTTTCGGCAGAGAACAGCTCGGCAATCACCAGCATTTGCAACCAGTAAATGCCTACCAAGCACTAGAGCAGTCAGCATTGTTGTTCCACAAGAACTGCTAACACTGCTTTCAGCAGCCAAGGCAAGGTCTGCCAGCAAAAATGCTTTCCTATGAGAATCCTCCAACTCTTTTAAGAAAACAGCATCAATCTCAGATACTTGTGACAAATCAAAATCTTCAAAAAATAACCTTGTAGCATTCCTCTTGATATAAGTAGCTGCGTCAGCACCACCATGACCATCAAAAACAGCGTAGAAAGCACTTGGTATCGAAGGCTTAAACATAGAACCCAGATGGGAAGATAGATCATCAATCCTTATGTGTTCATCTTCCATAGATCTCCGCGGACCAATGTCAGCACAGCTGCCAGAACGAATCCTTGGCACAAATTTGACAACAGATGACTCAATAACAGCATCTCCGATGGTCCCAGCGCAAGTTGCAACCTACACAACAGACAGAAAAAGGTAAGCCCATGTTCTTATACATGTAAAAAAAAAAAAAAAAGGCTTTTCATATGGTGATTCCTGACGTTATTGAGATTCAACAAAGAGAAGCATAATTAACCCATAAACCAGAAAATCCATGACAAATCTACAGTTGAACTTTGGATCTATGATTGATAGTTATGAGAGCATGAACAACCAAAGTTTTTTTCTTTTTGCCCCTAATTGAAATCTAGTAATTCTATATTGCCCACACACAAAGAAAAAAAAAGGACTAAAGTCGTATAATTGTGGGTGAAATTTACAATAAAGTAATGAAAATACCATGACTTGAAGGGAAAAAAAATGTCATTTTTATCAACCCATCAAATAAGATCCCAAACCCTAACAGCGGCTAATCAAACAGCAGCTTCTTCTATTGCAAATAGAAGCCATTAATTCACGGGAAAAAGAAGAGTTACCAAAGGAAGTAAAGAAGAAAACAAAGGGAAAAACGCACCGAATCGAAGCGAGAAACTTCGGTGGAAATGGACATAACATCGACAGCTTGGTGACGGTAAATGATGTCGGCTTCTGCTCCCATATTTTGACCAACAATCATCTCTAAAACGATTAGTAGTATTGATTCGTTTCTTGAACAAAACCCCTTTTCTGCTTCTGCTTCTGCTTCTGCTTCTGCTTCTGCTTCTTTAGGCTTTCGAACAACAAAGAAGTGTTTTTTTTACTTTTGTTTGTATCGAGAAGAGAATGAATGAATGAATGGGGATTCCATTGGAGTTAACCCAATACTGAAAGTTTTCTTGCAGAAGTTTGTGTTATATCGTCGGGATTAGTCGGTGACACTGACCGACACGTGTGGGTGAAGCTGAATTGGAGTGGGAACCCAAGCAATGTAAATGTGCCGTGAATGATTTAATAACGGATTTAACGTTTTCTCGGTGGACTTTGCGGCCGATGCCTAATGGAGCTGAGTAGTTGACTTTGGGGTTTCTCTCCACTTTAATAATTATATATTCTTATTGTTCTGCCTTTTTTTTTTTTTTTTTTTTAAGAGTTTTCCCTTCCCTTTAAGAAGTGTAAAAATAGTGGAACTTGTTAAAAAGGGGTAATTGCTTGGCTTTGGAATTTCCCTTTGCTTCCATATAAAGCTATTAAGAGTTTTATGTTAATAAAATAATATATTGGAAGTGTTTAAATTTGAGTTTGATTCAATAAAAAGAGAAAAAAAAAGTGAATAAATTAAATTAGTTATTTTGTTATTATGGTAAGCAAATAGATAATAGTATATACATGAAATTTATGATATAGAAATTAGTTTAAATCAAGTTTAAACTCTACTGTAAAAAAAGTTGTCATGTCATAAACGTGAAATAATAAGATTCGGCAAACATTAATTATGATTTGTATTTTTAAATAACATAGATACACATGTCATTTGTTATCAATTTGCATATCTATCACGTATTGGAGTTGGATCAATGCCCAGAAACGTGTTCTAGTTGTTTTGTCACACCACAAACGTTAAAAATATTAGAGATAATTTAAATAATAATAATAATAATAATTAAATTTATTCCAATTCACACTTTTCTTTGAGTGGATTGATCTGTGCATCAATGGTTGCTTTACGTACGTGAGCTTCTTTAAGCTTTTGCTTTTGACATTGGTTAGTGGCCATTGTAACTCCCATACCCAGACCCAATTATTCCGTTACTAACCTAATCTAATCTAATATTTTATATTGAAGATTAATCAACAAATAGCTTATCTCTCGAGCTTTCTTTTCATTTTCCTTTTTTTTTTTTTTTTAAGCTCTATCGATACGTATGTGATCATTGTGACCACTATTTTAATTGTTAGTTTTGGATTGGTAAACACTAAAAGGGGAAAAGGTCGACCTACCAGACAAGTTGATCTAAATATTATTAATATCACATGATTGATGCAAATCACTTATGACAGAGAAAGGTTTAAGCGAAACACACGCTTATTTTTGGTACTATAATTAGTAACTTGATTATAGCAATCTCTATCTTTAAATTTCATTTTTGGTTTTTTAAAAAATTATGTAATTAATTTATTATTACGTCCAATCACCCAATCATAAGAGCTGCTTGAATTTGTTGTTCAATTCAATGATTGGTTTACTTAAGAACAAGCATGAAATTCATGTCCTGTGGATAAGTTTTAAAGCCTAATCAAATAACAAATGGGATGACGATTCATAGGAGGAAATGAGCATCCAACTCAACCCACACACTTGTATTAGAGCAAAATGCAAAGTCCCCATAACCTGTCTTTCTTTTCTATCAAAGCATGTCACAATTGTGACTATATTTCATCTCAAAATTTACACATTGCACCATAAGAGCGACTGAACTTGCTTATCAGCCAAGATGATTCTGGGCCAGAAAACCAGCTCTCGTGTAAATGGTCCTGCATGTCCGGATGAATACTATAGACCTATACAAAATTTTTTAAAAAACTATACATTTCAAGAAGGCTAGATAAATTGATTATATGAGATGTTTACTAACATAAGATTTCTATTAAGAAATATCTATTTATATTCAAGCATGTCCCAGCTACTAAGCATCCAAAGTTCCCAGAGACCCATTTGCTACCGTTACTTTGGATGGCTTGCAGGCAGGACGTAGCGTTCATATTTCTAAGGGCCCTTGCAAATATACTCCACTAACCATTTTACCTTTAAAACTGCATATAAGTCAATCTGTAGTGGAAGAAGCAGCACTCAGCTGATGCTCACTCAATAGATGCTTCAATGTCATACACCTTACCTGGTGGGGCATGTGTCCCAGATAGCAGTCTTGGAAAATGTTGTTAAATTATCAGAGGAAATTCTCTGTTGGCACTGGTTCCCAAATCAGTTGTTGCTGCTACCAAAAGTTGATCTCATAATAACCGACGTAGGTGCCTGTTGAGGAGACCAGGTGCAAGCCCCTTCTTTTGAAATCATTTCAACAGCAGTGCCATTGGTAATTGGTGAATATGGTTTAGTAGCTTTCTTCTTCAGCAACTCCTGAATCATTAAAAGAAGCTTTTACGACTAAAAGTCTTAAATCTTAATAAGGATGATCCAAGGCTATGCTTAGAGACACTGAAACTAACCTTTGAAAGGTTTTGTCCGTACGTGTTGATTGCTCGTTCAATTGAACAGTAAACTTGAAAAGCCTGATAAGTATCTCGGCCACATTTTACAACACGAACTTGTTCTTTTGTATCTGTTGGTCTAGTCTTTAGATAGAGTATGAGTCGAGAAGGTGGAGCCTTTGGTAGGTCTTTCTTTCCGTGAGTCAACTCCATTGTTGCCAGATCATCCCACAGCACATCCCACAATACTGAACATGGATCCCTCACCGGGTTGAATTTCCTCTGAGTGATATTAGAGGTTTGCTGAAAAAGACAAAAAGCAACATAATCCTTTAGTTTGACCTCCAAGTTCAGTAATAAAAAAAAAAAAAAAAAAAGGCACCAGTGAACAAGAAAAAGTTTCCAGCAAATTTAGTTGACCTACTTGCAATAATATTATTCTTCGATGAGTAACCATAAGTATTTTTCCCTTTGGTAGTAAGAAATGATCTTCATATGCATCTGATAGTGCAAATTTTCCACGTACTTTGAATAGATCAACCTGGCCAAAGAAAGAACCTGATTGCGCCAATTGCAATATGACCTTCAAGATGAACACAAATGCCAGTAGGTTAAAGTGTTGTACTCATAACATAAGCAGGTGATCATCAAACCAAATTTTCAAACATAAATAAAACACAGACAAGTAAATGCAAAAGTCCCACTTGCCCTTTTACTTAATGTATTCAAAGCCAACTACACCTGAGAAGAAGGCATAAGAAATAAAGTACCTGTCCTTGTGCTTTGTACTGATCATATGGTCGAAGCAAATTATCACCACTAACTACACGAGGCAGCCTCCTGCGGAGAAGCTGTTCATCCGAACCTATAGCAGATGCGATCTTCATTCTCATAGCATTTGCACCTTCAGTAGTTTTTGACAAAAGATCCAGAACCCCACTCACAGGCTGCGCAGCTGCTCCTATTATGCCTTTTCCAACACCCTGAACAAAGCCCTCAACACCAGAAGTTTTTGCACCTTCAAGAGGCTTTGTTAATATGCCAGTAACTCCTCTGAACAGGCCTTTTGCTAGTGCCCCACCCCCTTCTCTAATAATATCACCTAAGTCCTCAACACCCTTGTTCTCCTGCAAAAAAAGCAAATTGAAAAGAACTTGTGAGAGTTTCTAGATGGTTAACTGCACAGCACCAGACAGTTATTTCCCAAGAAGAAGCCTATTGGATGACTAATGGCTTTAATAGACAACAGCATAGCATTTATGTAACAACAGCATGAGCAGGAGAAAGAGGAAAAAAAGGTTGACCCTCAACTAATTGTTCGATCATATTGTTGTTCAGGTGGTGAAATAACTGCTTCCTAATCCTATGGTAACCTCCTGTTGCTATTCTATTAAGTTATAAGGTGCAGAAGACAATATTTACCCTTACTGCACATTAAACCCTATAACACATCCTACAAGTGTTCCTTTTTTTTACCAGAAAATTTCTTTCCATTATAAACATTTATTAATGCCACCACTGTTAGAAATGCTTCAAGGGTGTAGACAAATAAATCAGAAGGGAAACTAAAGATGGCATACCAAAGCAAGAAGTGGTTTTATTAATCAATTATTAACTTATGCTTTCATTTTCAATCAATCATTCAACCATCTAAATCACCCCATTAAAAATTTACTTATTAACTATCAACCAAATGATAATAGGAAGATATAACAGGCACATCACTTTTGTCAGTTATTCAACAGTTACACACAAGTCATCCATCTCTCAGGGTTTAAGGTTATTAAACACACCTTTCAAATAGATCAAGCCCCTGAGCAGTAAACAAAGCACGTCATAGCTTTATACAGTTATTTGCAGACCCATGATACACATAAATGAGCAAGAAAACATTTTGCAAATAATTAGTGTAGCATGGACAAATCAGCACAAACTTGGCAACAAGTGTAGGCTTAGTAATCCAAATTTTGGGTTTGTGACATACCTGTCTCTGTCGGCTTTGAATGAATTTCTTATCCATTGATAAAGCAGCCACTCCTTTACTCATATGTCCAAGAGCACTACTTGCATTGCCCAATATATCAAGGCCAGAGAGCAATTGAAGTGGTTGACCAAGAAGATCCTTTTTGATGTTTGAAATAGCATTATTAATCATAGTACTTTGCCTCATGCATACATTCTCATGAAATCTTTGATTTATCTTGACCTGTTATTCAACAGTTATATTACAATGTGTATAACCAACGACAAATAGCTCATGAAAGTTAGTTTAGAAAACATTGAGATATATATAGCTCAGAGAGTAGCTAGTGCTACTTCATCCATAGATTAGTACTTAATTAATGGAAAATACAGTAGTTCATATAGAGTCACAGTTCAGTCTTATGCCACCAAACCCTTGTAATTACCAAAACAATTGAATCTATCAACATATTTACTGCAACTTTGATATCTGTATTTGGAGGCCATGACTCTTAACAGATATTTATTACAGCAAGTTTCTGCATGTTTTTCTAGCTTCCATATACTTACACGTGGTTTTCAGATCCAGCCAGAGAATTGAAGGTCAAAATAAAGAAAGATCTACAAATGAGGAAACAAAAATGGATTAAACATGCAACTTACGGTCATATTCTCAGTGTTCCCTAATGCAGTCATTAGCGATGACCAAAAACCAAGCACTCCCCTAGGTCGTTGGCTAGGTGACATAGCCATGGACACTTTCAGTCGAACTTCTGAGATGTCGAGAACCCTGGATTAGGGGTTAAATACGAGTGATAAGCCTCAAGCAATCAAATACAGAGCAAAGCACATTTCGAATATGAAAATCATAGAAAGGTTCTCACATACCCAATTTGAATG